AAGGGGGAGATTGTGGGGTCTTCAGTGCTGAGTTCCTGGTTTCCTTGCAGACGTTTCGTGACCCAACTAGGTGATGTCATCAGTGCTAGAAGGGAAGGGGGTTTGTGGAGGGGGAGGGGGGAAGGGGGAGATTGTGGGGTCTTCAGTGCTGAGTTCCTGGTTTCCTTGCAGACGTTTCGTGACCCAACTAGGTGATGCCATCAGTGCTAGAAGGGAAGGGGGGTTTGTGGAGGGGAAGGGGGGAAGGGGGAGATTGTGGGGTCTTCAGTGCTGAGTTCCTGGTTTCCTGGCAGACGTTTCGTGACCCAACTAGGTGATGTCATCAGTGCTAGAAGGGAAGGGGGTTTGTGGAGGGGAAGGGGGAAGGGGGAGATTGTGGGATCTTCAGTGCTGAGTTCCTGGTTTCCTGGCAGACGTTTCGTGACCCAACTAGGTGATGTCATCAGTGCTGGAAGGGAAGGGGTTTGTGGAGGGGAAGGGGGGAAGGGGGAGATTGTGGGTCTTCAGTGCTGAGTTCCTGGTTTCCTGGCAGACGTTTCATGACCCAACTAGGTGATGTCATCAGTGCTAGAAGGGAAAGGGGTTTGTGGAGGGAAGAGGGGAAGGGGAGATTGTGGGGTCTTCAGTGCTGAGTTCCTGGTTTCCTCGCAGACGTTTCGTGACCCAACTAGGTGATGTCATCAGTGCTGGAAGGAAGGGGTTTGAGGAGGGGAAGGGGGGAAGGGGGAGATTGTGGGTCTTCAGTGCTGAGTTCCTGGTTTCCTGGCAGACGTTTCATGACCCAACTAGGTGATGCCATCAGTGCTAGAAGGGAAGGGGGGTTGTGGAGGGGAAGGGGGAAGGGGGAGATTGTGGGGTCTTCAGTGCTGAGTTCCTGGTTTCCTCGCAGACGTTTCGTGACCCAACTAGGTGATGTCATCAGTGCTAGAAGGGAAGGGGTTTGTGGAGGGGAAGGGGGGAAGGGGGAGATTGTGGGATCTTCAGTGCTGAGTTCCTGGTTTCCTGGCCGACGTTTCGTGACCCAACTAGGTGATGTCATCAGTGCTGGAAGGGAAGGGGGTTTGAGGAGGGGAAGGGGGGAAGGGGGAGATTGTGGGTCTTCAGTGCTGAGTTCCTGGTTTCCTGGCAGACGTTTCATGACCCAACTAGGTGATGCCATCAGTGCTAGAAGGGAAGGGGGTTTGTGGAGGGGAAGAGGGGGAAGGGGGAGATTGTGGGATCTTCAGTGCTGAGTTCCTGGTTTCCTGGCGACGTTTCGTGACCCAACTAGGTGATGTCATCAGTGCTGGAAGGGAAGGGGGTTTGTGGAGGGGAAGAGGGGAAGGGGGAGATTGTGGGGTCTTCAGTGCTGAGTTCCTGGTTTCCTGGCAGACGTTTCGTGACCCAACTAGGTGATGCCATCAGTGCTAGAAGCGAATGGGGTTTGTGGAGGGGAAGGGGGGAAGGGGGGAGATTGTGGGGTCTCCAGTGCTGAATTCCTGGTTTCCTGGCAGACGTTTCGTGACCCAACTAGGTGATCTCATCAGTGCTAGAAGGGAAGGGGGTTTTGTGGAGGGGAAGAGGGGAAGGGGGGAGATTGTGGGGTCTTCAGTGCTGAGTTCCTGGTTTCCTGGCAGACGTTTCGTGACCCAACTAGGTGATCTCATCAGTGCTAGAAGGGAAGGGGGTTTGTGGAGGGGAAGGGGGGAAGGGGAGATTGTGGGGTCTTCAGTGCTGAGTTCCTGGTTTCCTGGCAGACGTTTCGTGACCCAACTAGGTGATGTCATCAGTGCTAGAAGGGAAGGGGGTTTGTGGAGGGGAAGGGGGGAAGGGGAGATTGTGGGGTCTTCAGTGCTGAGTTCCTGGTTTCCTGGCAGACGTTTCGTGACCCAACTAGGTGATCTCATCAGTGCTAGAAGGGAAGGGGGTTTGTGGAGGGGCAGGGGGAAGGGGGAGATTGTGGGGTCTTCAGTGCTGAGTTCCTGGTTTCCTGGCACACGTTTCGTGACCCAACTAGGTGATCTCATCAGTGCTAGAAGGGAAGGGGGTTTGTGGAGGGGAAGGGGGAAGGGGGAGATTGTGGGGTCTTCAGTGCTGAGTTCCTGGTTTCCTGGCAGACGTTTCGTAACCCAACTAGGTGATGCCATCAGTGCTAGAAGGGAAGGGGTTTGTGGAGGGGAAGGGGGAAGGGGGAGATTGTGGGGTCTTCAGTGCTGAGTTCCTGGTTTCCTGGCACACGTTCGTGACCCAACTAGGTGATCTCATCAGTGCTAGAAGGGAAGGGGGTTTGTGGAGGGGAAGGGGGGAAGGGGGAGATTGTGGGGTCTTCAGTGCTGAGTTCCTGGTTTCCTGGCAGACGTTTCGTAACCCAACTAGGTGATGTCATCAGTGCTGGAAGGGAAGGGGGTTTGTGGAGGGGAAGGGGGGAAGGGGGGAGATTGTGGGGTCTTCAGTGCTGAGTTCCTGGTTTCCTGGCACACGTTTCGTGACCCAACTAGGTGATCTCATCAGTGCTAGAAGGGAAGGGGGTTTGTGGAGGGAAGGGGGGAAGGGGGAGATTGTGGGGTCTTCAGTGCTGAGTTCCTGGTTCCTGGCAGACGTTTCGTAACCCAACTAGGTGATGCCATCAGTGCTAGAAGGGAAGGGGGTTTGTGGAGGGGAAGGGGGGAAGGGGGAGATTGTGGGGTCTTCAGTGCTGAGTTCCTGGTTTCCTGGCAGACGTTTCGTGACCCAACTAGGTGATCTCATCAGTGCTAGAAGGGAAGGGGGTTTGTGGAGGGAAGGGGGGAAGGGGGAGATTGTGGGGTCTTCAGTGCTGAGTTCCTGGTTTCCTGGCAGACGTTTCGTGACCCAACTAGGTGATGCCATCAGTGCTAGAAGGGAAGGGGTTTGTGGAGGGGAAGGGGGAAGGGGGAGATTGTGGGGTCTTCAGTGCTGAGTTCCTGGTTTCCTGGCAGACGTTTCGTGACCCAACTAGGTGATCTCATCAGTGCTAGAAGGGAAGGGGGTTTGTGGAGGGGAAGGGGGGAAGGGGGAGATTGTGGGGTCTTCAGTGCTGAGTTCCTGGTTTCCTGGCAGACGTTTCGTAACCCAACTAGGTGATGCCATCAGTGCTAGAAGGGAATGGGGTTTGTGGAGGGGAAGGGGGGAAGGGGGAAATTGTGGGGTCTTCAGTGCTGAATTCCTGGTTTCCTGGCAGACGTTTCGTGACCCAACTAGGTGATGCCATCAGTGCTAGAAGGGAAGGGGGGTTGTGGAGGGGAAGAGGGGAAGGGGGAGATTGTGGGGTCTTCAGTGCTGAGTTTCTGGTTTCCTGGCAGACGTTTCATGACCCAACTAGGTGATGCCATCAGTGCTAGAAGGGAAGGGGGGTTGTGGAGGGGAAGAGGGGAAGGGGGAGATTGTGGGGTCTTCAGTGCTGAGTTCCTGGTTTCCTGGCAGACGTTTCGTGACCCAACTAGGTGATGTCATCAGTGCTAGAAGGGAAGGGGGTTTGTGGAGGGGGAGGGGGGAAGGGGGAGATTGTGGGGTCTTCAGTGCTGAGTTCCTGGTTTCCTTGCAGACGTTTCCTGACCCAACTAGGTGATGTCATGTCAGGCATAAATGCTCTGCCCGTGCCAGGGATCAGCTATAGCGCAGTAGTGCAGGGGTTAACCCAGACTCCCACCTGGTCAGCTCCTCCCATAGACCCCTCCTTACCTGAATCCCCGCCCACAGGTATAAAAGGTGGGCACACTACTCCATGTTCCAGTTGTTCCTGATGTATTCCAGAGATGATGTGATGAACCTACAAATAAAAGGAGATATATTTTACCTGATGACTCAAGTCTCTTTATTGGGCCTGATCCACCATTCCTTGTAACAAAATGGTAGCAGAGGATGGTTGGTAAGGCCCAAAGATCCCAAGCCACACGACAAGGACCCATACCTACCTGCAGAATGGCGACACCTCCGAAGCAACGGAAAGCAACCCATCGGATTCGCCGGGAAAGGCAGGAACCTCGACTACCCCCAAAACCACCGCGACGGAAGAAAGGGGGGAGATCGAGAAAGGGAAAAGGGCCCACCACCACGATCAAGAGGAAGAGAAGCTGCGGCTCGACGTCCTACAGCTGCTGAAGGAACGAGCCGGCGACAAGAACCTCCTTGCCGACCTGCGGAGCTTCATAATCGACCGCGAGGTGGCAAGGAGCGAAGAGGGCTCGGACTCCGAACTCGAGGAGCTGGACTCGGTGAGTGGATCGCCCAAAAGGGCACCCCCAACGGCCACCGAGCCCCGAAGCCCCACTCCAAATTTGAAACGGCGGCCATCTTTGTCCACGTGGTCGGACAAGATGGCCGACCCCCAACCAATCAACATACAGGATTCAAAATGGCCGGCGCGCGAAAAATGCCAGACCATAAACAACGATGAAAGTGACCAGGGAGAGGGAACCGAATCCGACTCCGACCCCTGGTACACCCCCAGCGAGCGGCAAGTGGATAGGGCCATGAAGACCCTCGACGCCGCCTTCGGCCCAGGCCTCAAAATCACCAAGGAGAGGCCGGAGAGGCCAAAACGGAAGGAAAGGCGAGGAGAGGGACAGCGGAGCACCCACCCGAGAGCCACCGACGCCCGCGATGACTCACCAGCCCACCTTCGCACCCCAGGGACACCGCGCCCCCGATCGCCCAGGCCACGCACCCCGGACCGCATGGATTGGGGCAGCTACTTACACCGTCGCCGGATCCTCAGCACCGCCGAGTCTTCATTCCGGAGCTGCAGCTGCCGAACGACACCTTCCGGAACACACCTGGACCCCCAAGGCCGAGGCCGAGGCCTACCCGACCGGCAGAGGCCTCTACAGCGGAGCCGCGACGAACAGGTCCTTCCTCGGCGACGGCGGAGCTGAAATGGATTTCGCGCATGCGCTCTTCCGCCTAGAGGAAGAAAAAAGAGAAAAAAATTACAAAGCGGGACTTTTAAACTACCGGCAAGCGTTCCCATGCCCTACTGCTGCTATAGAGACATAAGGAACCATGGACAGCAGCCAGCAGTAAGTAATTTTACCACTAGTGCTGGGAACTTACCTGTTGACTTTCCCAAGTTGAGGATGGATGGGGGCAATATCCTAGAGTGGTCACAGCAGCTCCAGGTGGTGTTTCTGAAAGAAAACATGTCACATTTTATTAATGACCCCCCCAGAGAAACCATGGACTTTAGAGCTGGATTGCATGCACCATAAGGCATTCTACCTTTTAATTGCCAGTATTTCCCCACAATTTACCACTGTATTGGCCATAACCTCACGGTGTCCGAAATTATAGGGAAAATGTTTGGATTGTTTTATAGTGAGAGCGTGTCCACCACCACACAAATTTCCAAGGACTTCTTTTCCGCCAGACTTAGGCCAGGGACCCCCATGAGTGAGCACCTAGTGTCCTTAAGCGGTACCAGGGCAGAGCTACACCTTAGGGAGAAGTTATTTCCGACCAAATAATGAAGAGTGTGATAATCAACTCTTTAGACCACTCATGGAATAACTTCCTGACACAATTAGACACCGTTAGCCTAGGGATGCTGTCTGTGGAGAGGCTATCCAACAGGCTTATCACAGAAGACAATCTGAGGAGGAGCCGCCCCGGCCCTCCCAGAGAACACAAGAGTGAGAAGAGAGTAGTCTTCCAAGAGAAGCAACACAACACACCCGAGTGCTACATCTGCGGGTCAAAGGGACACATCAAAAGGGACTGCCCCAAGAAACTATAGGGAAAGAGGCAGGCCAGAACATAAGTACAGGCAAACAGAAAGGCACACATCCGATGAAAGGTATAGGCGTAGAGACTCACCCATCCCCAGGGATAGGAAGGGAAACAGGGACAGCTCACGCGACAGCAGGACAGGGTCCCTATAGGGGATAGGGGAGCACACACACACCACACACCAAGGCACGGACACCAGCTCTTGGCTCCTAGACTCGGGGGCTTCCAACCACACCACATACAATCAGAAATTACTCTCATCATTCAAGAGAGAGGATTTTTCTATCAAAGTTGCTGATCAAAACCAGGTCAGAGTAACAGGCAAGGGGACAATTACGTTACCAGGCATAGGGAAAATAGAGGGGGTACTACTAGTCCCGGAAATGGAAATACCCCACAACATCCTGGCCGCAGTAAAGCTCAGCAGGGAATCAGGGGTTGAGATGATATTCACAAAAGGAATGTGAAGGTTAGCAAGAACAGGAAGGACATAGGAGAGTAACCATTAACCAAGGGTTACCCTACATAAATTTCTATGAGGATTACGCCCACAGCATAAACACCAGTTCAGAGAACACAGAAGACACTGACCAAAGCAAGTCTGAAGGTGAACAGATAGTGGGGGAGAGGTAGATAACGACGATAACACGACACCAGAAACACAGCACAACAAACACACACAAAAGAGACCCTCTATAGGCAAACCAATGCATGACGACTGTGCCCATCTGCTGCATCGCAAGCTTGGACACGCCAGTTTTCCCGTGATACAAAAAATGGCAAATTGTACCGAGGGTGCCATAATAAAAAACTGTGAAAACTACCTCGAGTGCTCGGTGTGCAAGTGTTCAAAACTAAAAGTAAAACCCAGACCCAAGAAGTCGTTACGCGCCGCCAAACAAATATTCGACTTAGTACACATGGACCTGGTAGGGCCCCTAAGGCCATCCATAAATTACAAAAAAAGGTACTTCCTCACCATAGTGGATGACCATAGTCGATATGGCTTCGTCTACACCTTAAGAAAAAAGGATGAAGCCTTCCAAAAATTCAAAGAGTTTTATAAAAGGGTAGAAACCCAAAACAACAAACAGATCAAACAGATCATGACCGACAGAGGGTCTGAGTTTTTATCTAAGGACTTCTCACATTGGCTCAGGTCCAAAGGCGTGATTCACTTTACGTCGTCCCCGTTTTCCGCCTTTCAGAACGGGGTCGCAGAACGACGGAACTCCACGCTACAAACGATGGTCAGGTGCGCCCTAGAGGACGCGGGCATTGGCCAACACTTCTGGTCTGAAGCCCTGGTCTACTCTAACTATACATTAAATAGAACATGGTCCAGTGTGATAAATAAAACACCCTACGAGGTCATGTATAACAAGAAGCCACAGATAGCACACCTACATGTGTTCGGGCGTAACGGCTGACGTCCACATACCCAAGCAGTTACGCAGGAAAGGGGATAAGGTGTCCAGAAGGCTCAGGTTTATGGGATACGAGCCAGGAACCAAAGGCTTCAGATTTGTGGACAATAATAATAGGTTTGTGGTCTCCAGAACAGCGGCATTCCATGAGCAAGCCAACTGGTCCAGGTTGCACCTAAACGAGGTACCCACCGAGCGGGAGGATAGTCCCATCGAGCAAACCCAAACCAAAAACGAGACAGCAAATAGACAACAAGGGAGCAGGCCCAAGCCCGACCTCCAAGGCATCAAGGTTGAGGGATGGAAAGAGAATCATCCCAAGATAAGTGTCGAATCACTGACACAAAGAGAGGCCAGATATCTGCATGACACTGAGCAGGCAGCGACCAGGCCTGTCAGGTCAACCAGAAACCAGCTGCCAAAGAGGTTGAATGATTACGTGATGCACGTGCACACAAACCACATTACGCCAAACTCCTACGAAGAGGTACTGAGACTACCCCAGGGGGAGAGGGCAAAATGGAGTTAGCCATGGCCAAAGAACTGGACAGCCTGAGGAAGCTGGAGGTATACACCCCCACCAAAGTCCCGAGGGCAAGAACACAATAGGCACCCGGTGGATATTCAAAGTCAAAAACTTAGAGGGGGGCCAAAGCCTATACAAGGCAAGATTAGTTGCCCAGGGGTTTGCTCAAAGGTTTCCGGAGGACTACACAGACACCTATTCGCCCACCGTAAGGACAGAGAGCGTCAAAAGTGCCTTGGTCATTGCATCCTTACTAGGGCTGGAGGTGCACCAGTTCGACGTGCAGACCGCCTACCTGCACGCCAATCTAGACAAAGAGATATACATCAGAGCCCCCCACAGCAAAGAAACCAACAGAGGGGACACCTGGTTACTTCACAAGAGCCTGTATGGACTAAAACAATCAGGCAAACGATGGTACGAATGCCTGGTAGAGGCCCTGAAGTCTATGGGATTCACGGCGACCATAGCTGACAACTGTTTCTTCACCAGGAAAGAGGGGGACTCACCAGAATACATCCTAGTTTACGTGGATGACATTCTATACATCAGCAAACACGAAGCCAACCGCAACACCTTCGCCAGCAGGCTGAGCGAGCATTTCACCCTAAAGTACCTTGGGAGGATAAACCGATACCTGGGGGTACAAGTCAACCAGACGCCAAAAGGTTTCCAACTGTCTCAGAAAGAGAAAATAGAAGAGTTACTCCATAAGTGCAACATGGCAGACGCCAAAGGATGTGATTCACCCATGCAGGCGGACTTCCTAAAAAACATGCATGATGAATCACCCGAATTTGGAGATAACACGCTATACAGGTCTATCATAGGCTCCCTCCTTTATATCGCTAACTGGACAAGACCGGACATTGCCCTATCCGTCAATTTATTATCCAGGCACGTGAGCAAACCCACCACATACCACTGGGATGCAGTAAAAAGGGTGTTGAGATACCTGAAACAGAGTGCCAATGCATGCTTGACCCTAGAGCCTGAGAAATCCGAAGAACCCATCCTCTCATGCTACGCTGATGCTGACTGGGCCGGAGACGCCAAAGGCCGCAAAAGCACATCTGGGTACATATTCTACTTAAATAACTGTCCGGTGCATTGGTACACAGGCAAACAAATCTTGGTGGCAACCTCGACTACTGAAGCTGAATATATATGCCTTTCCAAAGCCGCCAACAATCTCATCTGGTTCGACGACCTGCTCGCCAGCGTGTGTGGAGAACCAGCTTACCCAATAAATATCCACGAAGATAACAAAGCCGCCATAGAGATATCCATTTCCGACGCTGTGGGGCAAAGGTCAAGGCACATTGACATAAAGTACAAACACGTTAGACAGCTCTCCCGAATTGGTTTCATAAAGGCCATACACTGCGACACAGAAGAACAGACCGCAGACATACTCACAAAACCACTACAGGGCAAGCAACACTCACACTTAGTTTCTAAGCTCAAGATCCACCCCAAAGTACCAACCAGTCAGTCATGCCTACAGACACGGGTCAGGCATTTAGAGGGGGATTTGTCAGGCATAAATGCTCTGCCCGTGCCAGGGATCAGCTATAGCGCAGTAGTGCAGGGGTTAACCCAGACTCCCACCTGGTCAGCTCCTCCCATAGACCCCTCCTTACCTGAATCCCCGCCCACAGGTATAAAAGGTGGGCACACTACTCCATGTTCCAGTTGTTCCTGATGTATTCCAGAGATGATGTGATGAACCTACAAATAAAAGGAGATATATTTTACCTGATGACTCAAGTCTCTTTATTGGGCCTGATCCACCATTCCTTGTAACAGTCTTCAGTGCTGAGTTCCTGGTTTCCTGGCAGACGTTTCATGACCCAACTAGGTGATCTCATCAGTGCTAGAAGGGAAGGGGGTTTGTGGAGGGGACGGGGGGAAGGGGGAGATTGTGGGGTCTTCAGTGCTGAGTTCCTGGTTTCCTTGCAGACGTTTCGTGACCCAACTAGGTGATGTCATCAGTGCTAGAAGGGAAAGGGGTTTGTGGAGGGGAAGGGGGGAAGGGGGAGATTGTGGGGTCTTCAGTGCTGAGTTCCTGGTTTCCCTTGCAGACGTTTCATGACCCAACTAGGTGATGTCATCAGTGCTAGAAGGGAAAGGGGTTTGTGGAGGGGAAGGGGGGAAGGGGGAGATTGTGGGGTCTTCAGTGCTGAGTTCCTGGTTTCCTGGCAGACGTTTCATGACCCAACTAGGTGATGTCATCAGTGCTAGAAGGGAATGGGGTTTGTGGAGGGGAAGGGGGGAAGGGGGATATGTGGATCTTCAGTGCTGAGTTCCTGGTTTCCTGGCAGACGTTTCATGACCCAACTAGGTGATGTCATCAGTGCTGGAAGGGAAGGGGGTTTGTGGAGGGGAAGGGGGGAAGGGGGATATTGTGGGATCTTCAGTGCTGAGTTCCTGGTTTCCTGGCAGACGTTTCATGACCCAACTAGGTGATGTCATCAGTGATAGAAGGGAAGGGGGTTTGTGGGGGGGGGGAAGGGGGGAAGGGGGGAAGGGGGATATTGTGGGGTCTTCAGTGCTGAGTTCCTGGTTTCCTGGCAGACGTTTCATGACCCAACTAGGTGATCTCATCAGTCCTAGAAGGGAATGGGGTTTGTGGAGGGGACGGGGGGAAGGGGGAGATTGTGTGGGGTCTTCAGTGCTGAGTTCCTGGTTTCCTGGCAGACGTTTCATGACCCAACTAGGTGATCTCATCAGTGCTAGAAGGGAATGGGGTTTGTGGAGGGGAAGGGGGGAAGGGGGATATTGTGGGATCTTCAGTGCTGAGTTCCTGGTTTCCTGGCAGACGTTTCATGACCCAACTAGGTGATGTCATCAGTGATAGAAGGGAAGGGGGTTTGTGGGGGGGAAGGGGGGAAGGGGGGAAGGGGGAGATTGTGGCCTCTTCAGTGCTGAGTTCCTGGTTTCCTTGCAGACGTTTCGTGACACAACTAGGTGATGGCCATCAGTGCTAGAAGGGAAGGGGGTTTGTGGAGGGGAAGGGGGGGAAGGGGGAGATTGTGGGTCTTCAGTGCTGAGTTCCTGGTTTCCTTGCAGACGTTTCGTGACACAACTAGGTGATGTCATCAATGCTAGAAGGGAAGGGGGTTTGTGGAGGGGAAGGGGGGAAGGGGGAGATTGTGGGGTCTTCAGTGCTGAGTTCCTGGTTTCCTTGCAGACGTTTCGTGACCCAAATAGGTGATGTCATCAGTGCTGGAAGGGAAGGGGGTTTGTGGAGGGGGAGGGGGGAAGGGGGAGATTGTGGGGTCTTCAGTGCTGAGTTCCTGGTTTCCTTGCAGACGTTTCGTGACCCAACTAGGTGATGTCATCAGTGCTAGAAGGGAAGGGGGTTTGTGGAGGGGAAGGGGGGAAGGGGGAGATTGTGGGGTCTTCAGTGCTGAGTTCCTGGTTTCCTTGCAGACGTTTCGTGACCCAACTAGGTGATGTCATCAGTGCTAGAAGGAAGGGGGTTTGTGGAGGGAAGGGGGGAAGGGGGAGATTGTGGGGTCTTCAGTGCTGAGTTCCTGTTTCCTTGCAGACGTTTCGTGACCCAACTAGGTGATGTCATCAGTGCTAGAAGGGAAGGGGGTTTGTGGAGGGGAAGGGGGGAAGGGGGAGATTGTGGGGTCTTCAGTGCTGAGTTCCTGGTTTCCTGGCAGACGTTTCGTGACCCAACTAGGTGATGTCATCAGTGCTAGAAGGGAAGGGGGTTTGTGGAGGGGAAGGGGGGAAGGGGGAGATTGTGGGGTCTTCAGTGCTGAGTTCCTGTTTCCTTGCAGACGTTTCCTGACCCAACTAGGTGATGTCATCAGTGCTAGAAGGGAAGGGGGTTTGTGGAGGGGAAGGGGGGAAGGGGGAGATTGTGGGGTCTTCAGTGCTGAGTTCCTGGTTTCCTTGCAGACGTTTCGTGACCCAACTAGGTGATGTCATCAGTGCTAGAAGGGAATGGGGTTTGTGGAGGGGAAGGGGGAAGGGGGAGATTGTGGGGTCTTCAGTGCTGAGTTCCTGTTTCCTTGCAGACGTTTCGTGACCCAACTAGGTGATGTCATCAGTGCTAGAAGGGAAGGGGGTTTGTGGAGGGGAAGGGGGGAAGGGGGAGATTGTGGGGTCTTCAGTGCTGAGTTCCTGGTTTCCTTGCAGACGTTTCGTGACCCAAATAGGTGATGTCATCAGTGCTGGAAGGGAAGGGGGTTTGTGGAGGGGAGGGGGGAAGGGGGAGATTGTGGGGTCTTCAGTGCTGAGTTCCTGGTTTCCTTGCAGACGTTTCGTGACCCAACTAGGTGATGTCATCAGTGCTAGAAGGGAAGGGGGTTTGTGGAGGGGAAGGGGGGAAGGGGGAGATTGTGGGGTCTTCAGTGCTGAGTTCCTGGTTTCCTTGCAGACGTTTCGTGACCCAACTAGGTGATGTCATCAGTGCTAGAAGGGAAGGGGGTTTGTGGAGGGAAGGGGGGAAGGGGGAGATTGTGGGGTCTTCAGTGCTGAGTTCCTGTTTCTTGCAGACGTTTCGTGACCCAACTAGGTGATGTCATCAGTGCTAGAAGGGAAGGGGGTTTGTGGAGGGGAAGGGGGGAAGGGGGAGATTGTGGGGTCTTCAGTGCTGAGTTCCTGGTTTCCTGGCAGACGTTTCGTGACCCAACTAGGTGATCTCATCAGTGCTAGAAGGGAAGGGGGTTTGTGGAGGGGAAGGGGGAAGGGGGAGATTGTGGGGTCTTCAGTGCTGAGTTCCTGTTTCCTTGCAGACGTTTCGTGACCCAACTAGGTGATGTCATCAGTGCTAGAAGGGAAGGGGGTTTGTGGAGGGGAAGGGGGGAAGGGGGAGATTGTGGGGTCTTCAGTGCTGAGTTCCTGTTTCCTTGCAGACGTTTCCTGACCCAACTAGGTGATGTCATCAGTGCTAGAAGGGAAGGGGGTTTGTGGAGGGGAAGGGGGGAAGGGGGAGATTGTGGGGTCTTCAGTGCTGAGTTCCTGGTTTCCTTGCAGACGTTTCGTGACCCAACTAGGTGATGTCATCAGTGCTAGAAGGGAATGGGGTTTGTGGAGGGGAAGGGGGGAAGGGGGAGATTGTGGGGTCTTCAGTGCTGAGTTCCTGTTTCCTTGCAGACGTTTCGTGACCCAACTAGGTGATGTCATCAGTGCTAGAAGGGAAGGGGGTTTGTGGAGGGGAAGGGGGGAAGGGGAGATTGTGGGGTCTTTAGTGCTGAGTTCCTGTTTCCTTGCAGACGTTTCCTGACCCAACTAGGTGATGTCATCAGTGCTAGAAGGGAAGGGGGTTTGTGGAGGGGAAGGGGGGAAGGGGAGATTGTGGGGTCTTCAGTGCTGAGTTCCTGGTTTCCTTGCAGACGTTTCTGTTACAAGGTTGGTGGATCAGGCCCAATGAAGAGACTTGAGTCATTATATAAAATATCTTTCTTTTATTTGCAGGTTCATCATATCATCATTTGGTTACATCAAGATCTGGGGAACATGGAGGAGTGTGCCCACCTTTTATACCTGTGGGCGGGGAATCAGGTAAGGAGGAGTCTATGGGAGGAGCTGACAGGTGGGTGTCTGGGTTAACCCTTTCACTACTGAGCTATAGCTGATCCCTGGTATTGTCAGAGCATTTACACCTGACAAATCCCCTCTAAATGCCTGACCCGTGTCTGTGGACCTGACTGGCTGGTTGGCACCCTTGGGTGGATGTTGAGTTTGGAAACTAAGTGTGAGTGTTGTTTGCCCTGTAGTGGTTTCGTGAGTATGTCTGCGGTCTGTTCTTCTGTGTCGCAGTGAATGGCCTTTATGAAACCGATTCTGGAGAGTTGTCTGACGTGCTTATATTTTATGTCTATGTGTCTTGATCTTTGCCCTACAGCGTCGGACATGGATATCTCGATGGCGGCCTTGTTATCTTCATAGATATTTATTGGGTAAGCTGGTTCTCTCCACACGCTGGCGAGTAGGTCGTCGAACCAGATGAGGTTGTTGGCAGCTTTGGAGAGGCATATGTATTCAGCCTCAGTAGTCGAGGTAGCCACCAAAATTTGCTTGCCTGTGTACCAATGCACCGGACTGTTATTTAGGTAGAATATGTACCCAGATGTGCTTTTCCGGCCTTTGGTATCTCCGGCCCAGTCGGCATCGGCGTAGCAGGAGAGGATGGGTTCGTCGGATTTTTCGGGTTCTAGGGTTAGACATGCGTTGGCACTTTGTTTGAGGTATCTTAGTACTCTTTTCACTGCGTCCCAGTGGTATGTGGTGGGTTTGCTTACGTGCCTGGACAATAAATTAACTGAAAGAGCAATGTCCGGTCTTGTCCAGTTAGCGATATATAGGAGGGAGCCTATGACTGACCTGTACAATGTGTTGTCTTCAAACCCGGGTGATTTATCATGCATGTTTTTCAGAAAGTCCATCTGCATGGGTGAATCACATCCCTTGGCGTCTGCCATGTTGCACTTGTGGAGCAGTTCCTCTATTTTCTCTCTCTGCGACAGCTGGAAACCTTTTGGCGTTTGGTTGACTTGTACCCCAGGTACCGATTAATCTTCCCAAGGTATTTTAGGGTGAAGTGTTTGCCCAGCCTGCTGGCAAAGTTGTTGCGGTTTCCTTCGTGTTTACTGATATATAGAATGTCATCCACGTAAACTAGGATGTATTCTGGTGAGTCCCCTTCTTTCTTGGTAAAGAAACAGTTGTCAGCTATGGTCGCTGTGAATCCCATAGACTTCAGGGCCTCTACCAGGCATTCGTACCAGCGTTTGCCCGATTGCTTTAGCCCGTACAGGCTCTTGT